CCTTGAAAAATAAAATGAACTCTGCCCTTTAGAAATGGATCTCATGGTTTTTCTGACCGGACTGGATGGATATTTATTAAAATAAAAAGGGAAGTGGCAGGACTCTAGATGTTAATTTTTCCTTTTAGTTCATCTGTATTTTCTCGATTTTTCACCAGTGAACCCATGTTCATTAGCAATAATATAAAATGGATATACAGAGAACCACAAACACTGGATATACAGAGAAGAGGTAGCTTCCTTATTCGATCTGTAACTAACCCATTCTTCTTTACAGTAACCACTTATTAGAGGGGAAACACTACATTTTCAGTCTATTTTAAACCATAGTTCAATTTAGTACATAAAAATGGATCCCTTGATTCGCAAAATGATACCAGTAAAGGCTCCCAAACACAGTCATAATCTGATACGTAGGAAGAAAAGGGCATGACCTCCAGTTTCTGACAAACACGTTGGGGAGGCATTGATGTCGCCAATGCGGAAAACACTGTCTTGAAATGTTAGCTGGGTGTCCGTCCATGCTTCCTGATGCCCCATGACCCTTGCCCTGCTCAGGGCACTGGAACAAACAGTACCTGTGTTTCAAGGAAGGGCAACTTCAGCAGAAGCAGAGAGAAGGCTTTCGAGTCTACAAAGCCTGGGTCTCTGACAAAACAGCAGTGACAGAGAACAGATCAGTGGTTGCCAGTTGCAGGGGAAGAGGGAGGGGGTAACTATGAAAGGGCAGCATGAGTGTATTTTGGGGGTGATGGAACTGTTCTGTATTATTGTATTATTGTGGCTACATAAAACTATTCATGTGGGCTTCCCTGGTGGTGCAGTGGTTGAGAGTCTGCCTGCCGATGCAGGGGACACGGGTTCGTGCCCCGATCCGGGAGGATCCCACATGCCGCCAGAGCGGCTGGGCCCGTGAGCCATGGCCGCTGAGCCTGCGCGTCCGGAGCCTGTGCTCCGCACAGGAGAGGCCACAACAGTGAGAGGCCCACGTACCGCAAAAAAAACAACAACTATTCATGTGTTAAACTCATTGAATTATACACCCAAAAAAAGTCAATTTTACTGTAGGTTAAATTTTTTTAAAGACTGAGTTGTTTTGTTTGTTTGTTTGTTTTAGTTATAAGATACTATTTCTCTTTTCACTCTCTCTCCCTTTTTTATCGGCCGTACCCTGCGGCTTACAGTATCTTAGTTCCCCCACCAGGGATTGAACCCAGGCCACGGCAGTGAAAGTGCTGAATCCTAACCACTGAACTGTCAGGGAATTCCTAAAGCCTGGGTTTTTCAATTTCAAAATTTGGGGCATAGTAGACATTAAGAATAGCATATACATGATGAATTGAAGCAAGGTTTCCTGCCCTCAGGACTAGAAAATTTCCCATGTTGGGTTGGTGGAGTGTGAGGGTCCAAGAGAAATTGAAGAGAAAATAGTTCTAGTGGGTTCTGAGAAGTGTCTCATGGCCTTGCTTCTCCCCAGGCAAACCTTGACGTGGGAGGAGGACAACAGAAACCCCAAGTCAACGTGCGGGATTCCAGAACAGAGGGATTCTGTGTCCACATTCCCTTCCAGAACCAGGAGAGGTGGCAGGACCCCAGGGAGAGAAAGTTAACTGGCAGGTCTCAGTAGTTCCAGGCAGATGGGCTGCGGCAGTCCCCCGGGATCCTGCCTGAGACACAGAACAATTTTGGGTGTCCAGCAAGGGTGTCCAGTAAAAAGTAAAGGCTAGGGCTTCCCTGGTGGTGCAGGGGTTGAGAGTCCGCCTGCCGATGCCGGGGACACGGGCTCGTGCCCCGGTCCGGGAAGATCCCACACGCCGCGGAGCAGCTGGGCCCGTGAGCCATGGCCGCTGAGCCTGCGCGTCCGGAGCCTGTGCTCCACAACGGGAGAGGCCACAACAGTGAGAGCCCCGCGTACCGCAAAAAAAAAAAGTAAAGACTAAATTCGAAGGGGCCTTTTGGATGGGAGGGAAGCACAGCATCTTGGCATCAAGGGGTCAGATGGCATATGGCTGCTTCTATATTTCCAGTCAAAACAGGGACAGGACAGCCTTCTTCAGATGCCTTGGCACAAATAAAGCCCCTGGAACAGAAATAAAATCCCAGGGGGAAATGGGGAAGTTTTTGTTACTCAGCAAAATGGCATGTGAAATGCTAAACTATACATACATTAGAAAAAAAATATGTAGGGGAGTTCGCTGGTGGCCTTGTGGTTAGGATTCAGAGCTTTCACTGCGGAGGCCCAGGCTAGATCCCTGGTCAGGGAACCATCCCACATGCTGCGTGGCATGGCGCAGCCAATAAGCAAATAAATAAATAAATGAAGGGATTATGTATTAAAAAAAAAAATGTAGGGACCTCCCGGGCAGTCCAATGGTTAAGACTTTGCCTTTCAATGAAGGGGGTGCGGGTTCGATCCCTGGTTGGGGAGCTAAGATCCCAGAGGCCTTGCGGCCAAAAAAACAAAACATAAAATATAAGCAATATTGTAACAAATTCAATAAAGACTTTAGAAAATGGTCCACATCAAAAAAAATCTTCAAAAAAAAATGTAGACACATGAGTTTATGAACTGAAGTTCATACCCCATCCCCAGACATTATCCCCCACAACCCTGTGAGGTAGATATTATCCTCCCATTTTACAGATGAGGAAACTGAAGTTCAAAGGTTTGGAGGGACTTGCCCAGGGTCACAGGATTTGAACCAGGGCAATATGCGCCCATATCCATCCCCTTTCTGCCGTAACACAAATGCAGCCTCCTAGCTTCAAACCAGCAGCTGTTAGCTGTCCAGTAACAGACTTGAATCCATTCTTTGGCTTATCTGCTTCCATTTCCCCCCAAAATAGTGGCAACCTGACCCAAACCACAAGAGTTGTACCAAGATAACATAAAAGGGGACCCCTTTGAGGATGACTGACAACATACAAGCTGTGGGAAGAGTCTGGTGAGCGCTTGAATGGATGATTGAGTTCAAGGCCATGGCCCAGCCCCTTGGAGGCATCGGCCAGACTCTCACAGGAAGTGGGAGCAGCTCCAGTGAAGGTCTGACATGAGGGGAAGGCAGCGTGGCTCACTGATTACAGGGGCATCAGACACAGGGGAGAATTCTGACACCACTCACTCGCTGTGTGTCCCTGGGAAGTAATCACCTTCTCTGAACCTTAGTCTCCTTATCTGACATTTGAGGTTCAACAATATCAAGCACTCATGACAAAGATGAAGTTCAAGTATGGAAAGCACCTGGCACAGAGTAGGTGGTCCATAAATGTGCATTTCGCCCTTCTCTCTCCGCTTTTGCTTTTAATATGCTCTCACTGGACTAGGGCCTGGACCTCCCTGTGCCTCGTTTTTTCACCTGTAAAATAGACTCCAAAGGCCCAAGTGGTGGTAACAAATGCCTCATTACTTCATTTGGGGAAGGGAAGAAGAAAGGGTAAGGGTAGAGACCAGGATGTCACACAATCCCTCAGGCCTGGGAAACTGGAAAGCATTTTCCAGGCTATAAAAGTGGGAGGCATGACATTCACAGACATGGGGATGCAAAACGGTCAGAGCGTGCCCAAGGCATCCTCATCTCTCAGCCCAGTGATTAAGAGAAAGGACTAGAGCATGAATGCCTAGGCCCCATGCCCACTGTGAGACTCTGGACATGTCACCTCACACTACGAGCCTCAGTTTCCCCCTTGTAGAATGGACGTACTCATTCCCATCCCACACAGGGTTGTGAGGGGCTGGAGGTGAAAAACGATGCCGCACCTGGCATTCAGCAAGAGCTTGGCAAGTATTAGCTGTTGACACTGTTTTTATTGTTATTATTATCCAATGGGTTGAGTCCTAATGATACTGACCAGGGTTTTTGGCCTTCCTTAATCAACAGAAATTGACTAGAGGCCAGACAAGAAATTCAGGCAAGCCTTTATGGGGGCCCCTGCTGCAGCAGGGGGTAGTGAAAACTAGTAACAGGTTCCCTTGCTCACCCCCCCCGGGAGGCAGGGCAACCTGGTTCCTTCTATGGGGTGAGGGTAGGGGTGCGTCCAGGGGTCAGGCTAGAGGGGTGGCTTACGTAGTTTGCCCACCCCTCTGGTGGTGTTGAGTTCAGGGGACATGCGCAGTACTCTGTTTTTGCTCCTGGCTCTTCAGAAGTGGCAGATGGGTTTTAGGTCCTTTTGTATCTTGTTGTCCATAATTTGCCCCAACTGCCCATGCACGTGGTTATGTTTAGTCCCTTATAGTTTGTTTGTATTTTGTTGCTTGAGGAGACATTTGTCCAGGTGCAAGCACTGCAGCAAAGAGTCCCAGGTCCCAGGCCCCAGCCTGTCTCATTAACTCTGCCCCCTCCTCTCTGTGTCCTTGGGCACCTGTCCACACTGGGTCTCAGTTTTCTCCTCTGCAAAGGAGGAACAGCAACCCCTCCCTCCAGGGTTCTGTGAGGATGTATAGCCCCCAGCATGTGACTGTCACGCAATTAGGATTCAGAAACCAGGACACCCCTGCCCTGGAACTGAGGGGTGCCCCAGATATAGGGAAATCAGAGACAGTTTGACTCTTTTTTGACATTTTGGGAGCAAGAGCCCTCCAACTGGAGAAGAATAATTGGACCAGGAAGGGAAAAGGCCTGGATATGAGATTGAGGTCCCTTCCTGGGCTCCACCGGCTGCCTCTCCCAGTCTTTCCAAATGTGATCTTCAGGCCACCTCAGAGCGTGGGTCCCCAGCCTCAGTCCCACACGTGAAACCATGAAGTCTTGAGTAACATCCCCATCTCAAGTTTTCCTCTGTTTAACTTGTCAATCAAACGGCTTAACTGTCCCACCTACTAATGTGATTGGCAATTATTTACTTTGGAGAGTAATTATTACTTTGGTGTCTTACTTTGAAAGACACCACCAGATTGCAGAATTCTGAGTTATCTCGAAACCCATCATTCAACTCCTCGTTTCCGGATTCCCACACTATAAAAGAGGCTGCCTCCTCAGCAGTAGCCAGCAGGGAAGAGGAGACCAAGACATCTGCTGGGACGTCTGAGAAGCCAGGTGAGATCTGCCCATTCCGTTCCCCGCCCCTCCGCTGCCTGAGTGTGGAGGACTCAACCCAAAGCCTGGCTCAGAGGAAACGTGTTAGTTATTGCTATTCACTCCCTGGTGTGCAGGGGCAGGGGCAGGTGGTGGATGGGTTCCTCACTTGTATTCGTGCCACAGTGGACCTGTCATTCTTTCCACAGATACTGAATGAGAAGATGTTTCAAACTGGGCGCCTTGTTGTCTTCTGTGGGCTGCTGGCCCAGACCATGGTCCTGCTGGAAGCCCTGACCTTGCCCCCGGACCAGACACTGCCCTTGCCTATGACTCCATCCCTGGCCTTGAGTCCCACAGATCTTGCTGGAAGCTTGACAAGTGGTAAGTGAGAGTCTGTGATAACCTCCTTCAGGGGTTTGTGTGTATGTCTGTGTTTGTGTGTGTGTGTGTGTGTGTGTGTGTGTGTGTGTGGTTGGTTGGGAAGAGAGATAAAAGGGGGCAAGGACTGAGGACCCATAATTGTCAGATCTGACCCCCAAGGGCCCCATACCCATTTCCAGCTCTCAGCGATGGCCTGCTCTCCGAGGATCTATTGGACATTCTCGAAAACCTTCCGCTCTCGGACATCCTGAAGACTGGAGGGAACTCTCCCAGTCGCCTGCGGGGGGGCCTGCTTGGGAAAGTGCCCTTACTGACTCCTCTCCTGAACAACATCGTTGAGTGAGTAGCTCTAAAATAGGGCCTTGGACCCCACCGGAGAACCCCTGTTGGAGATCTAACAGCTCCAGGCAGTGGCCCTGAAGGGGGGTGGGGGGTGATCTGAACATGAGGCCAGGACTCAGGCTGAGACCTTCCTCACAGTCTGGCAGGGAACACCAGCCCTCCTGAACTAGCAATTGCCCCCAGTCCTAAAGCGCGTCCTGAGTCCCCAGCATCATCTATAATCCTCACCATAGTCCTCTGAGGTCAATTTAATAATCCCTAGTTTACAGATGGAAAAACTGAGGCACAGAAAGGTGCCTGTGATCACACCACAGGAGTGATGCAGAGTGAGGGTTCTAACTCTAACTGACTTAAGTCCAAAGCCAAGGTCTTTTCCACTATATTATAGTAATTTTGTTCTCCTCACCTGTGAAATCCCTTAGAACACTGTGGCCTTTGATGTAAGCAAGAAAGTGTAAGCTACTCTCCTCAGTGACATCATTATGTGATGTCCGTGGAACAATCCAAGATGAACAATCCAGGAGCCACCTGAGAGCTCTCTAAGCAAGGAGCAATAGTAGAAAGTTTGATGCCAGTGAGCTGGCAAAGCCTAGATCCTTCATAGGACTGGGTCAGAGCTATTCTCATGATTCCTACCCACCCAGGTGCTTGCCCCTGACTAGAAGACAGATAGGTAGGCTTGAGTTTGATTTTTATATTCACCGTGTACTTGCTGGGTGACCTGGGGCAAGGCAATCAGTCTCTCTGGGCTTGGTTTCTTCATCTGTAAAACGAAGATTATGGTACCCACAGAGAAAAACTGTTGGGAGGACTGAAAAGATGTAGATCACCTGGCTCAGTGGCTGGCTCAGAGAAGAGACTTACTTCCACCCTCTCTCCATTCTCCCTGACTTCCTGCTTCATCTCCATGATAAACATTGTTGATTGACCTGCCATTGAAGAACTTGGCAGGATGAGTGATTCCTACCATAAATGTTTGTGAAGGACTTACTCCAATTGCCCGGACTCCAATAGCCACTTACCCATCCATCCATCTATTTGTCCATCCTCCCTCCATCTAACCACTTACTCTTCCATGCATCCACTCACATATCCATCTACCCCCCGGCTCATCAGCCTACAAAGTCAACCAATATAGAGTGGGCCCTTTCTTTGTAAGGCTCTGAGCTGGCATACAGGATGAAAGTATAACCCAGACACAGTCTCTATCCTGGAATACCTTATAGACTTGAGATGAGGAGAGGGTCATGTGTGTGTCTGGATCTGACCCAGGGCAGAGTTTGGGAAAAATTGATGTGAGACTGGAAACCCATGTGGCTTTTGCTGCAAGACTCCCCTCCTATCTCCTCCATCCCATCTCATGGGTAGCTCCCACTCTGGGACGGGTAAGGTGGAGTTAGGTGTGGTTTCTAGATTTAGAACTAGAGGAGTTAATGTTTCTCCCCCCAATGTTGCTCCCTGGGCAGTTTGAAGACCACTGATCCCCAGCTGCTGGAACCTGTCCTCCTGAAGAGCCCTGATGGCCATTGTCTCTATGTCACCATCCCTCTGGCCATGGTCCTCCATGTGAAAATGTGAGTGTGTCCCAAGGGGGAATGGGAGGATGGCTCACCAGAGGAGACCCTGATGATCTTGGGTAGTCAAAAAGAAAAAAGGTGTTGGAGTCTGTCTAACAGACCTGAGCCTCCAACTTCAGCTCATTTGCTGCCATGCTGAGTGATCTTGAGTCACTTGGGAAACTCATTTAACCTCTGTGAGCCTTGGTTTCCTCTGCTGGGAAATGAGACGAGTACAGCTGTGGGCAAGGTGGCTGGCATTTCTGTCAAGGAGAAAAGCCTCCTCTGCCTTGGGATGTGGTGAGACCAGCTGCAACAGAGTGTCTTCTCTACAGGCCCTTGGTTGGAAGTCCATTGAAGCTGGCTGTGAAGCTAAACATCACTTCAGAACTCTTAGCTGTGAAAGATGAACAGGAGAAGTTCCACCTCGTCCATTGCAACTGCACTTTCTCCCCTGGCAGCCTGCAAATCTCCCTGCTTGATGGGTGAGGCCAGAGGGGTGGCTACTCCTGTCCAGAAACAATAGGATGGGATGATGGATGGTTGGGAAGATAGAACAATGGGAGAATGGATGAGTGGGAGGGTGGAAGGGTGAGAAGGTGGATAAGCGGATGGATGGATGGATGCATGGAAGGATGGATGAGTAGGTAAATGGTCACTTATCCCTTCTTAGGCCAGGCTGACCAATTCTGTACTGGATTAGGCAACAAGAAATCTGAGTTCAAGCCCCATCTACCTGAGGGGTGTGGCAAGAGATGGAGGGCTTCCTGTGTGAACTTGAACAGTGCTTCCCCAACCTGAGTCTCAGCTTTCTCAGATAACTGCAATATGGAGCTACTTTGGCATTATTGACAGAATCCTCTAAAATAATAGATGTGACATGCTTTGTGCCAGTAAAGGGTAAAATAGCTATGGAGCCTACCTGGGTTACTATTTCAGTTACTGCTGCAAGGGAGATGGAGGCAGGGATAATATACAGGAGTCGTCCCCATCATGGCTCACGTTTACTGAACACATGTGTTGTGCATCACACGTATCATCTCATTGAGTCCTCATGACAACTAAATACTAAGCACTGTTCATTCATCTATGGATTCTACAAAGCCTTATTGAACACCTACTGTGTCCTGGAACTGTGGGTTTATTCTACACGTACCTGGTGTGTGCGCTGCTGTGCAGTGTAGCACTCCCTTTGGATGTGCCCCTTGTTGTGGATCGTGTGGGTGTGGATGCATGAGGCCAGGTTCCATTACTCGGTGCTGAGTCTGCAGTGGGCACATACAAGTGCTTCTCCATACCAGCCTCAGGCCCCTGCACTGTCCGTGGCTTTTCTCTTTCAGATTGGGCGCCCTCCCCAGTGAAAGCCTTATTGACAACATCACTGGGATCTTGAATAATGTCCTTCCTGGGCTGGTGCAGGGCAAGGTAAGTGAGTACAAGAGGGGGCTCCTGACCTTTGGCTTTTAGAGCTTCTCAGGCTAAAAGAAGCCCCTGGGGTGAGCTTTTCTGAGCCTCTCAGTTTAATAAGTAAATTCCATCCATCAGTCTATCTGTCCATTGATCCATCTGTCCACGTTTCTTCCTTTCATCCTTCAAAATGTGTTGATTGGTTTCTGCTCTGGGCCAGGCCCTGTGTGTGTCCACACTACAGCTGAAACAGAAGGGCTTCTGCCCCAAGAAGCTCCCAGGCCACCCCCACTATGGCTGCAGACCAGGCCCACCCAGCCTATGCTTCGATGCCTCCTATAACCAGAAACTCACCCTCCCAGGGTAGTCCACCCTGTTCAGAAGCAGGTGCCAGATCACAGAGCGAACAACAGTTCACTGCGTGATTGGGCGCCTCACCCATGCCTTCAGTTCCTCCTTCCACCCAGTGTGGATGTGTGAACATTCATCCGTGGGACTGCTTCGAATCAGACACTCTCAGATACAGAAAAATGATGGACGACCTCCCCAGAGAATGCATACTGGGGATGCTGTTGCTGCCAGGCTCTCCCTAAGGTGCCACTTTGCCTAACTCTCCTCTCTGCCCCTGGGTCAGGTGTGCCCTCTGGTCAGTGAGGCTCTCGATCACTTGGACGCCACTCTAGTACATTCCACTGTCAGTAAGTACCTGCTTCCAAGCCCTCTCTCCCCACTGCAGGAGCAGGGATTTCCCCCAGGGAGCTCTGTCCCTGCACACGTGGGACAGCTAGGTCCCTCCAGCCTCAACTCTCCCCATTTCCGATTTCTTCTTTGCCTTGAATTATCCAGATCATGTTGAGGCAGAGACTATATCTCCCCACATCAGCCCTGACGCTGAGAACAGCTGGGCTGCTTGGTGGAGGCGGTACGGTCCCCTCCAAGCCCTGCCTGAGCGTGGTTGGATCTCAGAGTTCCCATTCCCTAGTCCCAGGCCTCCGGAGGACTGTGGAGGTCCCTGGGCTCCTTCACTCTGGTCTGTGGTTATTGTTTCTTCATTTTCCAGACGCACTGATGTACGGGCTGGAATCAAAGTCTCAGCCTTCCAGGAAGGGACCTGGCCTGTGCTGAGCTGAGTGAGTATTGCAACCCACTCTGCAGGATTTGGGAGCTGGCTGTTCTTCTCCTGGTGGGGGCAGCAGGGGGCTTGGGACAGTGACATCCAAAGAGAGAGACAAACAGCCACATAGACATACACCAAGATGCACAGAGAAGTCCACAGAAATGCTGACAGAGTTGGAGAGACACAGGCGGCACCGCAACACAGCTACAAAGAGAAACACACATGGTCGTGGATACGTGCACACACACACACACACACAAATGCCCGAACACACATATGGTCACTCAGACAGACACACAGAGGCACACACTCTCATGTCAGCACACGCACACATGTACACACACATGCAAACGCGCCACGCACTAATGGACACACAGACACACACTCACTCAAGCACATGCACAAGAAGCCCCCTGACCCCGGGCCTCAGGGTCAAGATCACCACAGCCTTAGGGTCTCAGCCTCCTCCCCACCCTCTGGAGGGGGGGGTTGAGGATGGGCCAATACCAGCAAGACTCAGGGACTTCGAGTCTCCATTCCAGCTGGGGTCTTGTCCCAACAGAACCATTTCCTGCTGCTCGATCCACGCCCTGCCCAGCACCTGAGGGCTCACAGAAGGCTGGCCCGTGTCCTGGACCATGACACGGCCATGTTTGGAAACCAGAGCAGCCTCCTCTCCAAGGAAACTTCTTCCCCTTCTTTCCCACCAAGCATATGTCACATTCCACGTTCGTCACCAAATAAAGCTGTCCTTTCTCTGCACAAGGTGCCTTGTCATCCTTCACCATCGCTGGAGGGCTCATAGTTGGGAAAGCGCCCTGGCCTGAGTGGTTGGAGCTGTAGAACAGAGTTTGGACCTTACATTGGAAATCTTAATGGTCTTAGGCAGGACGGGAAGATGTTCAGATGGGTGTGGATTTCAGAGAGACTGCTCTGGGGTTCCTAGGATGGGTGGACAGGGTGTTGGGTAGATGTAACACTCCAGGCAAAAGTGATGATACACAAGATACCACGCAAGAAGTGAAAATGGTAGATTAGAGAGATGTTCAGGAGGTGGACCTGGAAGGGTGGAGGTGAGGGAGCAGGTGAGGCTCCCGTCCGTGTCTCAGGTGGGGAATCCCAAAGGTAACTGGAAATATGGGAGGACGAGTTGATTTCAGCAGGAATATTATGCCTTTTAGCTGTGGCCCTGCTATGTGAAAGTGCCTGGGGGACCTCGAGGGAGACATCCAGGAGGCTGATAGATACACGTCCTCTACCACCTCTCTTTTGCCTACTTGCACCCAGTCATACTGGCCTCTTCTCTGCTCTCTCAGCAAGAGGGTGATGAAGATGACAAGGAGGAAGTATAGGAGGAAGGACGAACTGGTCCAGAATGTTCATTGCTGAAAGCCTTGGGAAAGATAAGCACAGAGAAGGGTCATTTGAGTTGCATACAAAAAGATTATTGATGCCCTGGGTGAGAGTCATATTTTTAGAGGAAGAAACCTGATTTTAAGGAACTGAGAAGAAAGGGATGTAAGGAAGTTGAGACTGTGAATACAGGTTAGATTTATGAAAACTTGGATGCAAGAAGGAAGAAGAAGGGCTACCCAGGCTGGGGGACATTGTCCCCTCAAATAAAAAATAAATATGCGGGCTTCCCTGGTGGCGAAGTGGTTGAGAATCTACCTGCCAATGCAGGGGACACAGGTTCAATCCCTGGTCTGGGAAGATCCCACATGCCGTGGAGCAGCTAGGCCCGTGAGCCACAACTACTGAGCCTGCGCTCTGCAACAAGAGAGGCCGGGATAGTGAGAGGCCTGCGCACCGCGATGAAGAGTGGCCCCTGCTTGCCGCAACTAGAGAAAGCCCTCGTACAGAAACGAAGACCCAACACAGCCAAAAATAAAAATAAATAAATAAATAAAATAAATTTTTAAAAAAATCACTGTTTCATTTTAAATAAATAATAAATAAATAATAAATAAATGTGCTTTCACTGTTTGAGGTCCTTAGAGGATCAGCCCCACCCTTTCACTCCACAGCTGAGGCCTTGAGTTGTATGTGAATGACTTGCACAAGGTCACAGAGTAACAAAAAGGCAAATCAAGGACGGAAACATCATAGACATCGAGAGACCCCACTGACCCTGTGAGAATGAACAGATTCAGGCTGGTGTTTCTCATCTCCTGCCAAACACCTGCCATCGTGTCCGGACCCACCACTATCTCCACTTGCCAGTGCCACCAACCAACATGGCGTCAGGGGACGACAGTCCCGTGGTTCAGAACTGCAAGAAGGCTTACTGTAGGAAACCAGCATGCGTCTTCTGGTGAGGATTTAAGAGGGGAAACGTCTTCCACACTCACAGAAGCAGAAGATCTTTGAGCTCAGGATGAGTGGTTAAATTCTGTAAGCAGCTGAATGATTGCTATGACTGTGAAAGACCTGAAATACAGAAAGGACCTTCCAGACTGGAAACCGGCAATTAGGATCTGACTTGCAGAGAACCCAGGCATTAACTACCTTCATGTCCTCTCTGGGCAAGCATTAGGTCAGGACTGAGAGTGCCCCAGGGCTGAGGCCCCAAGAATCAAGGTGGATAAAGACGGGCACATACACACACCTGGGACTCTCAACACTGGTCCTGCTGCCCTCTGACCATGGCTCCAAACTGCATTCCTGCCTGGACACACACCCACCGTCCATCTCTGGATACTATTTTCTTCCTACTGCTCCCTGGACTTCTTCCTATAGCCCACTGATGGGTCCTCCCCTCCCCTAACAATTTCAATTCCTAATTAACTGGCCTAAGATTCCCCTGGATACAAGTGACCTGGTTGATCAGAACACATTTATGACTTATAATAGGACATTTTCACATTTTAAAAGCTCTTCAGAAGGATGTCAGTGGCAATGGCAGATTAAAGACCTCCAAAAATTCTCTCCTACATAAAAGCAATCAGAAAACCGGCAAAAATTGTCCGAACCAATTTTTTCAGACTCTGGAAATTAACCAAAGGCTTGCAGCAATCCGGGGCTGGGATTGGGGGTGTGTTTATTCAATAAAAAATGGCTGAATCTTGGTCAGAACAGCAAGCTTTGTGACATTTTTGGTTTGTTTTGTTTTGTTTTGCGTTTCGCGGGCCTCCCACTGCTGCGGCCTCTCCCATTGCGGAGCACAGGCTCCAGACGCACAGGCTCAGCGGCCATGGCTCACGGGCCCAGCCGCTCCGTGGCACGCGGGATCCTCCCGGACCGGGGCACGAACCCGCGCTCCCCGCATCGGCAGGCGGACTCTCAACCACTGTGCCACCAGGGAAGCCCAGCTTTGTGACATTTTACTTACACATCTCCCACTTTCCAGCTCCACAGTAGACTTGAAAACCAAAAGCCCATAATCTTGGTGAAAACCGTTAGCCTGGCACAGCCACAGAAGGTCGGCAGAAGGGGATTGATTAGAACAACTTCAAAGCCTCATTCCCGGAGAGGTGTCATTGTTCGAGCGATCTGTTAGCTCCCTGGAGGACCCCATTCTCAAGGCTGTCTTTACTTGGCCTGACTCAGAGTTCAGCCAGTCAGTATGAATCATCTTTTCCCCAGGGACATTTGTCAAAATGGTAGACAGGCCTTAAGACTGGGTCCCCAGGAGTCTTTAACTCTCAAGCTAGTCCACATTCAAGTCTTCAGGAACTTGTCATAATTACCTTTTAAACGTTCCTGCCAGTCACCGGCTCCAGCAGCCTCTGCTTCAGGGAAGATGACCTTGACTATAATTCTATGTGTTTATCTCTCTCCAGATTTCAGGATGGCTGTTTGCCCTATGACCTCAATTCTCTGATGGATCTAAGCATGGATTTTCAGTTCACTGAGCCCTTTTCTTGTTGTGAGGATGGGAGTGACAACTTCCAAGCTCTGTATGTGTGAGAGCTGAAGTTAGAAGTCTGAGTTTGCCATAGTTTTCACCAGTTAGTTTCGTTTCGCTAGAGGATGGGCCCCCAGTGTCCCCCATACTGCCATCCTGAAAGTGAGACTTCTCCGGAAGTTGTTAGCCATTATTTCTTCAAATTTATTTTCTGCAACCACTCCTTTTCTCCTCTCATTCTGGGACTCTGATGACATGAATGAAGCCTTTTTGTTATAGTCCCTCCGGTCACTGAGGCTCTCTTCATTTCTTTCGCCCTTTTTTTCTTCCTCTTATTCAGATTGGATAACTTCTATTGATTTACCTTCAAGTTAATTGACTATTTCCTCTTTCATCTCCACTGTGTTGCTGAGCCTATCCGCTGAATTTTTTATTTCAGTTATTTTTACACTCTAAGATTTCCACTTAGTTCTTTTTTGTAGATTCCATTTCTCTTTTGAGACCTTTATCTTTCCATTCGTTTCAGAAGTGTTGGTCCTTAATTCTTGGAGCATGTTTATAATATCTGCCTTAATGCCATTGTTTGTTACTTTAATGTCTGGATCATCTCAGAGTTGAAGTCTATGAGTTGTCTGTTCACTTGACAATTTGTCAGACTTTCCTAGTTAATTGTACTTCAAATAATTTTGGGGTGCATACTTTTTAATACTATGTTATGAGACTCTGGGTCTTATTTAAATCCTATGGAGAATATTGGGGCGGGGGTGGGCATTTTAGCCTGCAATTGACCCAGCTAGAATCTAACCCAGTTAAATTCAGTTTCCAACCTACCTTCTGTGGCGTGTTTTTAATCAAGGGATTTCCTCCATTGTCTTTCTCGCATAAGGGCCCCTCTTCCTAGTCCTTGGGTCAGAAAGAGAGGACTTTCCTTGGAGCTCTTTCTCCTCACACCCGTACATAGTTCCATGACTCAGACTGTCTTTGGGTCCAGGCTGAAAGATATAAGTGGGATAAAAACCCAGGAAACTCAACTATGGATCATTCATTCTTTAAGTTAGGACTTCCTTCCCCAATCCACCATTTATGTTTCAGAATTCTCAGAGAGCCACTTCATTCACTATGTCCAAGGTGTTCATTTCATTCAATAGGAAGGACAGTGTG